AGAAAGAAAAAACCATCAGACAATAAATTTATAATAAAAACAAAAAAGTTAATTTAACTTTACCAGTTAATACCCATTTTGCTTGACCAGCAACATCAGTAACAACACCAGTTACTTTACGTGGAACATCTTTTGAAAAATAACTATAAGGAAAATATTTTAACTTACAAACATCTTTTGTTGTATGATTTATTATATCCATTTCACCAACCTTAAAAACAAAAAAAAAAAAAAGAACAGAATTTAGACAAGTTAGTTATTCTTTTCTTTTTTTTCCACTTACATTATCAATCCAAAGTTTGCCAACAATAATATTATTGACAAGTGTCGTTACTTTTTTCCATGAAAAATGATTACCAGTATTTTTAAATATTAAATGTGAATAACCTATAAAATGAAAACAAAAAATCAATACTATCAATTTATGAACATCGGATAAGTATTTAATACAAAAACAAAAAATATTTACCCAATGGTGTTATACTTAAATATTGACCACGAAATTTCGATGTCATTGTAAATTCTTGATACAATGTCCAACCTTGACCTTCGGCATATGTTGATAAAGCTGGTGGATGATGACTAACTTGTTCTTAAATGAAAATAAATTTTAAATTATTTAAATATAAAATATTTAAAAAAGAAAATTTTTACCAGCTATTGATTTCCAACCTAAATCATCAGTTCGATCACATTCATATGTTTCACCAAGTAATGGATTAAATGGTTTATTAACACGTGTTGATGTTGTTGAATAAGATGAAACAGTAAATGCAGCAACATATGCTAATTGTTCCCAATTATTTGATATTTTAGCTGCTGTATCAAGTACAGAACTATATTCAAGTTCTTCTGTTATACGTTGTAACATTGATATTGGTTCACTAAAATTAACTGGTATAGGAATTTTTGATAAATCTTTTCCAACACAATTTTTCATTATACTCCATAAATTAACACTAAAGAAAAGATAAAAAAAATTTTTTTTTTCAATCATATTTATTTTAATAAGAAAAAAAGTTTTAAAAATATATTAACCTATAATTTGGTCGTTCAGGTATACGATCACGACGTTTACGTTTTGATATAGCTACTTGTTGTTGATTATTATTTACAAGTTTTTGTACGGATTGATTTGCGTTGTTTTCTGTTGTAGCTACTGTATTCGGTGCTAAATACAAAAAAACACAAAACAAAACAAAAAAATAATATTTATAATGTATAAATTAAAAACATTATTGCTTTTCTTATATTAGAACAAAATTATACCTTTGACAATAACCATTGGTAAATCATTTTCATCTTGTTCTTCTAATCCACTTTCATCTTCATCATTTGAACTTGCATTATCATCAACAATATTTGGTAATTCTTTATCATTAGTTGAAATATGTTGTTGAAGTCTATCAAAAATTAAAATACATATCTATATAAAGAGTCTTTAATAAAATTTACGGAATACGAAAAACACCAATTGTTTGTGGATCATCAATAGCATCATAAAATTCATCATCATCAGATAAATTACTTGCATCAATTGATCCACGTAAATCTGATGATCTCATTGCTGCTAATGTTGAACGACCGGAAATAAGATTTTTGTTTTCAATACGTGATGCACGTTGCATTTGTTTTTCTAATTTAACAGTTTGTGATGCAACTTGTTCACACATACGTTCCATACGTAAACGTGCATCACGTTCAAATTGAATAGCTTTTTGCCATTTACGACCTTGATTTTGTATTAATTGTACAAGTTCTTGAGAAGCATTAAGCATAGCTAAAAATAATAAGAATTTCAAATTTTTTAATTCGATCATTTTTGAGGACAAAACAAAGTTGAATATATGAAAAAGAAAAAAAAAAGGCTATTTCTTATAAGAGGAGTGTCCGGTGGCTGCTAGAATTGGAAGAGAGTAGGAAGCTACGGGCTCGGGCTCGAAAAAATGAGGACTTGCAACTCCTGAGAAAAGATAAAAGTTTTTCAATATGGGAGAAGTTACTCCTGTTTATCTATCTGGACATAGGAAATATTGATTTGAAAATTTTTCTTATTTAATATGTGAGAAAAAACTAAACAATTCATCTTAAGTTGACCTTTGTTTTTTTGGTAGGATAGAAAATGATATAAAATACGTTAAATTACAAAAAAATTTTCTATTGAATATCTTAAATGTTTTTCATTATGTACATAGTAACAAAGAAATATTTGAACAGAACATTAAATCGAGTCAATTAAAAATGAAAATGTCTTTAGATTTTTATTTCATTGAGATAGTTTCATTATTGATTCATTTTTATAATACATATCAGTGTCCAACATCGGTCGAATTTTTGTGACCCAATTTGATCCAAGGTCAACTATTTTTTTCATGACCCGACCCAATTCAAGGTCTGTTTGACCTGAACCAGACACTAATACATATCTCGTTATCATTTCTTTCGTCATGTGTAGCTAACTGTTACGATAGTTTGAAAGTGAAAATATCTTTGACTTCTTAAAATTTGAATTAAATCAGAAATGATAGCGAAATAAATCATCATAAGAAAATTTCTTTCGAGTTACGTAAGAATAGATAGGTGAAGCCTGTCAGGCTCTATATATAAGACACTTTTTTCAAAATATATTTTCATTGTTTAAGACAAAAATTTTCTGGATGCTATGTATAACAAACTATGAATTTTTGGTGTAAATATGAAACTAATAGAAACCTGCTCGAAAAAATTTAGCTATGTCGTTAATTTTATCTATTGGGATACATTGTTTTTCTTTTCGAAACCCTTGAATATATATTTAGGTTAATAATGATAATTAATTTACCTGTTGATGTAATACGAAATAAAGTAGCACGTTCATTAACACTTTTAGTTATATTTATTGTTGCTTCTGTTTTATCAATTTGTTCAAGTTCACCAAGTGTACGACAAAGTGCTTGATAATGACGATTTATTAAATCCATACACATTTTAAGATCATCTAATTTTGTATCAAATGTTTTATTCATTGTTACTAATTCAGCACGTTCATTTGTATTTATTGATATTTTTGTTTGATCATTTATATTACCTTGTTGTTGTTGTTGTTGTAATTGATTTTGTTGTTGATCATTTGAATCATCAATTATTGAAACTTCTTCATCAGAATCTTGATATTGTTTTCGTCCTTTTAATGCTTTTTGTTTAGCTAATTCTAATGCACTCATCCAACGTTGTTTATCAGTTTCAGTTGATGTACGTAAATGTAAAACAGTTGAACCATTTGATATAACAAAATGACATGCATCATTTGATGATAAATGTGCTGATACAAGATAAACTGTACCACGACATGTATGTGTCATTTCATCTTGTGAACGATAATATGAAAGTACACCAGCTTGTAATACAAACCAACGTTTTTGATAACCTTTTAAATACTAAAAAAATAAAAGAAAAAGAGAAAATATTTAATTTTGTATTTAGAAAAAAAAAAAAAAAAAAGAAAATTTCTTTACATTTGTCCATTTATATAACCATCCACGCATATCATCTTTACCATTTGCAACTGATGGTGTTGTTGATTGCATATTTAATGGTTGTTGAAATTGACCAGATGGTGGTACAATACCAGTAGCAACTGGATTAGCATTTGCTAAATTTTGTAGCGATGATGAAAGAAATGTATTTGACATTTTTGAATCGTATGATGATGATACAAATTTTGGTGGTTTACCTATTAATAATAAAAAATAAAATAAATAAAATGTAATTTTTGTTATTTTTGTTATTTTGAATTTACCAAATTCCCTTTCTGTTAAATTATTTAGTTGAGAATTATCAGCTGCGGAAGGGGAAGCAATAATTAGAGATGTTAGTGTTGATATTGTTGGATAAGAATTCCCCGATCTTTTAATACTACCGATAACATTTGGTTGAGAACTAGATATAGTAGTTTTGTCGTTTGGATCTGAAAAAAAAAATAGATTTAATATATAAAATATATGTTGAAAAGAAAAATAAGAAAATGTTAGTTTGTTTTTATTTTAGATTTTTGTTTTTTATTTTTTAATTATTTCACAAAGCAGTGTTACATGCATTCAAGCAGATAGTATGTTGTTACTACTGACGAGCAAGTATTTTAAGTAAGACAAGCTTTTCTTTTTTTTTTTCTTTTCTTTCTGTACTATCTATTATGTTGTTGTTCTTTCTTTTCTCTTAATAATGATTGTCATCATATATATTATGCTTGAATTATTATATAGAAACTACTTGTAATAGAGTACGTCGTTGATAAACAAACGAATATTGATCACGATTAGAATATAAGTGAAAAAACAAACACATACATGCATAAATAACAAGAATAATAGTAGAAAAGTACCTGCTGAAAAGGTACAGATAATGAAAATACAGTAATATAAGTACAGCAAATAGAAAAAAAAAAGTCATATAATAAATATTTATATAATTTTTCATAATGAAAAAAGATTAGATATAACTGATTTCTAATTATATATATATAAATACTTTTGATTAGTCAAGATTATATTTCAAAAATGAATAGAATTAAAAAAAAACCAACTAAGCAGCAAATAAAGAAAATATTTACTTTCACACATACACTGATCAGTAGTAGCATCAATTGAATGTCGATATCGATGTAGTCTAACAAATGGTGGTCGACATTTTGAAACAATTTTGCGCATACGTTGTGGCATTACAATTAAGATAATTATCAGCAACGAAAGAATAAAAGAACAAGTAAAAGAAAAAAAAATAGAAAAGAATCAACAGACAACGAACTACGATGAAAACAAGAAGAATAATGCCTGCATACATTACATACAAGTAAGTCGATTGAGATAGCGTAAAAAGCAAAAAAAAAGAAAAATATATATATATATAGAAGAAACATTCGAAAAAAAAGAGAACATTTTCTTTCTCTTTCTTTTCTTCCTATTTCGTCCAAAGCATACCACAAGAGACTTAATAGGTCACTAATCAATATCAGTTGTACTATATTATAAATCAACATTAACTAAATAGATATGTATTAATATATTAATGGACATACTGTGACAAAAAAAAAAGGAGTATGTATCGAGATAAGCTTTAGAAGCATTATTATTAATAGTTTTCAATAAAAAAGAACACAATTGATCCTACCGATAGATCTAGGTAGTGGTGGCATGTGAGATGCATTTCGTTCTTTTGATCGTGTTGTTTTACGCATACTATTTTTAATATCATCTTTTAGATTACGTGCCGAATGCTGAGCACGCGGTGTTGCCATAGTTTTTTTAATATTATTTCAAATATCCTAATAACATTAAATAAGACTATAACGAGGAGACAAAAGAAAAAAAAAAACTTAATATAATTTCGATCTAGAACATTTTTTCTTTATGAGTATGTGCTATGCCAATCAATTATTAGTAAAGGAAACACATGAATCAACTATTGTGTCTTCTGGCACAATACAATACCAAAAAAATATTGTTTTTTTTTTTTGTAAAGGGAAAAAGAACCCTTCGGTATTTTATATGGCATAATAAAATAGAAGAGAATGTTAAAGAAAGAAAACAACACTCATTTTGTTTTGTTTGTTTTTTTTTGTCACATTAATCTTAAGAAAAGAAGAATCATTAATAGGAAAGTGTAACTTACCCGTTTTTGAAGAATATACTTTTTAATCTACAAATGAAAAAAGATGTTCGTTGTTTTAGTTTTTTTTTTTTTTTTTGTCATTTAGTCACAGAATAAAAGAAGCATCAGTGATGAATTTTTCTAGTAGGTTTTTTAATAAACAAATAAAAAAAAACAAGAAGAAGAACAATTTTAAGATATACTACACAGATATTGGTGCCGTTGTAGCTAGTTTCTTTTTATTTAGTAGTGATGTAGCTAGTTCTTTATCTTCATCGACCATAATCTTTATATAATAGAATAAAATATTACAAATTAAACAAAAAAAAGTAAAAATTTGATTATATTACTCGATCAACTCGATGTTTATAAATACGACCATCACCACGAACATAAAATATTGACAGACCATCAATATATCTATTATAAAAAAAAAAAAATTTTCGATAAGAATTTTCTTTTCTTTTTGTAAGAAATAAATCAATAAATATTTTACTCTATATAATCACGCATATTTCCTGCAACATCTTTTGGTTTTCTCCAACCTTTAAGAATACCAATAAATGATTTATTTGATAAACCAGATATACGCCAACGTATTTTAACACAATTTGATTCTTCATCAATTGTTGTTTTCAGTAAATGAATTGTTATATTCATTAATTTAAAATTTAATTTTGTTCGAATCCAAAAAAGAGCTAAAGCATAACTACCAGCACCTCTAGAATAAAAAAAAGAAAAAGAAAATTAAAAATCTATTATATTTTTTTATTCTAAACGATAGAAATATGACAGTATTAGATCAGTTTTAGACAATAAAAGATTGACTATTTAGGAGTTTTTGTTTTTTTTATCGTTAGTGTTTGTTAGTTTTAAAAATCAAATTGATATTTATAAATCGTTATTATATTTTTAATTTAATCAATAAGTAACTTAGTAAAAATATTTCATTGATTAATCATATATTTAGTCTAAATCCTATTTAAACTGTCATACGTCTATCTAAAATCACACATACATTGTCTAATACCCTTTTTTTTTCTCTGCCTACTTCATAATTTTGGGTGGATCGTCATAATAATTTTCAAAAATAATATCAGCTGTATATAAAGCATATGGATGCATTCGTTTACAAAAATCAGGTAACTAAAAACAAAAAAATTCTTCAATAAAAAAAAGAAAAACAAAGAATAAATCTATAGTATTAATTAATAAAATATTTACAATTTGTATAAGTTGATTTTCAATATAACGTAAATGTTCAAGTTTTGGTTTATCATTTGGATTTCCTGGTGGAAATTGAAATGGTTTTCTATCATTACTATTTGATGATGATTTTTGTTGATTTGTTGATGGTACCTGTAAAGTTATATAACGTTTTTGATAAAATTGATTTGGAAAAAAATTCCATTCATTTGTTTGTATAGAATTTGATGGTAAATTTATATGATCAATTGTTAATATTAATTGATCATTAGTACGATATTCAATTATTGATAAACGACGATATAATGAATATAGTGGAATTTTAAAATAATATCTATTTGCCGTTAATAATACAAAAGACATATCTAAGAGAAAAAAAAAACAAATTAATGTTTGATATTCGATGAATAACATAGAACATTTGGTTCTTCTTTTTTTTTGACTAGTTGAAAATAATGCGTAATTAATATTTGTCTTTGGTTTAAATAGCTAACATATTACTAATCGAAAATAAATAGGAAGTTACTTGTTTCCGGTGTTTTTTTTTTTTACTTATTCTTTGAAATATACTTGTCATCGTTGACAAAGAAATATAATTTTTGGCGTATCTATCTTCAAACTAGAAATTAAGAAAAAACATGAAATTAATTTCATCAAAATAATTTTTCGATAATTATCGGAAATAAAATCAATGCTATATCTTATAATCTATAAATAGCTCACATCAACCTGATTTCCATAGTGTGTCAAATAAAATTATAATAACAATCAGAAATATTTTTTGATGAATATTCATTTCTAACTACCCAAAACAATAAAAAAAAAAATAAAAGATAAAAAATCTATTGATTACAATTTTTATATCGGACTATTGTTCTTTTTTTTGGTTTTTTTATTCATCATTAGCTTAGACAAAATAACTTCTGAATATTTTCCTTGTTAATCTAGCTTTTTTTTTTTATTAGCAACATTGCATGCAAAATTTTCGGAAATCTTCATTAGATTAACAAGTCATTTTCAATTTCTCCTATAGGGAAAAAAAAACAAAACTCACAATAAAAACAAAAGCTTACCAGAATTACGAACAATATTTTTTTTTTAATGTCAAGTCTACTAAGCAGCGACAAAATGTATAGAAGAACATCTGCTGCTCTCGACGACATACATGTTGTTTCACACATCGCTCAAACAAAAAATAGAGTATATACAGTACATTTTATTCAATACAATAAACATTTTGTTTACAAAATGGTTAAATGAATTTTTAAATGGAAAAGTAATAAATATAACTGATTCTCTAATTTTAGAATACTTGACTTTTCTTTTTCTTCTATTCTGCAGTCTCTCTCTCTTTCGGTAATTACATAATGAAAAACAAAAAAAAAACAAACCTAGGTATTTCTCTTATCATCGATGTTATTATAAATAAGTATTACTCATCGAACGAAAAAAAAGGTAACATTTTTCTTCTTGTGTCTTATTTTCAATATATATCATATAAAACAACCTCGTTATTGTACACTTTAATGGTATATATATATATATAGAAAATATTATTATATACCGTTTAGAATTTTATTTATATACGTTGATTACAAAGAAAATAGTTAATTCAGGTTAGTTTAAATTTTTCTTGTTAATATTTGTATTCTACAAAATTGTTTTTTTTTCCTTTAGTGATATTCTCGTTCTATAGCTTACATAACTAAATCACTACAAAGAAATGTTTTTTTATATTTAAATGTTCTAACAATTAAAATCTATCCGATCTAAAATAGAATTATAATATAAATATTAATTTTATTAACCATCTAAATTTATAATATAAGTTTAGAAAAAAAGTCAATTGAATAAAACAAAATACATCAATTGATTAATTCATTAAGAACAGAAAAAAAAATTATCTGATCATAATCATAAACTTCATAACCTTTTTTTTTTCTTCTAAATAATAACAATTTACGTATAATTAATTAAAGATGATTTATGTTGCTTGACAAATGTTGTTATTATATTTGATAAAGCAAAAAAAAAAATATCTTTCTTATTCAACCAATCATCTTTTCATATTAGTGACATCTATTCAAAGAAAAAAAAACATATCATTTTAAATTTTTTAAAATAAAAAATAAAATCATTTTAAAATTAAAATTAAATTATTTATTAAATAAAATCAATTTTTTATTTTTCATTGGTTCATATCTCAAACAACAACATAACAAAAACAAAAAAAAAAAGAATTGTTTATTATTAGTAATTCTTTTGTTAATCATATAAAAAAAAACAAAATCATAATGACTTCATCAAATGATCAAATAAAATCGACATCAATACGTTCATATCAATTACCATTAACAAAGGTTAAATCAATAATTAAACTTGATAATAATACACGTATGATAAGTCAAGATAGTGTTTATATATTAACATTAGCAACAGAAGAATTTATTCGTATGTTAACACGTGATGCTCATAATTCAATGAAACAATGTGCATCAAAACGATTAGATCGTTTACATATATTTAGTTCAATAAATACAAATCCATTATATGAATTTCTTGATGGTTCATTTGATTAAAACTTGGGTTTTTTTTTATTCATATAAAAAAAAAAAAAATAAAATAAAATTCTTGTCAGATATGAAAAATAAAAAATGTTGATATTTCTAGATTTTTTTTTTGAATGAAACAGTCATCAATAACAAGTAATCCACCACCATTACCATTACGACCATCAACACCTATATTAACACATATTGATAAAAATATTAAAAAACAAATTGATGAACGTGAAAAACTTTTTCTTCTTTATGAAAATGAAGGTAAATTAAATGATTTAATATATGATATAAGTCAACATCAAACACCACGTCTTTCAACAACAGATCCAAATTCAATAGATCATTATGGTTTTATACATGATCAACCAATAAAATCATTAACAATTTATGAACGTAAACAAATACAACAAGAAATAAAACGTAGTGAACGTTGGAATAAAATGTTAAAAAAAACAAATCATACAATAACAAGAGATAATGAACAATTACGTCGACGTATGTTTAAAGGTTTACCAAGTACATTACGTGGTGCATTTTGGTCCCGGTTATTTGATCTTGATGAACAATTACATGTTAATAAAGGTTATTATGATATATTAAAAAAGAAAGCACGTGTATCATCAACATATTTAAGTCAGATTGATCTTGATGTACATCGAACATATAGAAATCATCAAATGTTTTGTAATAGATATTGTTTAAGACAAAAACATTTATTTTCTATATTAGCTGCATACAGGTAATCTATTAAAAACTCATATAGAATTGATTTAAAATATATTGATGAATCAAATTTTTTTGATGATTATTCTAATTGGTTTTTTGTAATAAGAACAAACGAAAAAAAAAAAGAAATTTTGCATTTCATATACAGATACTT